GTCGCGAGGCACGGGGCGGGAGGGGTCATCCCCGCAATGGAACGCTTCGTAGGCGGTGGTCGGGGCCCAGCCCCGCATGGTGAGGAAGAGAAGGGGAGGGGGGACAGAAAAGTAAACGGAGCAAAAGAGGCCCGCGCTGTGCCCTCACTGCCGCGCCGGCCGACCTCAATCAAGCCTGGGCCAGACGCTGATCAGCCCTGGTCCTCCTTCTTGCGGGTGGCCTCGCGCTCCTCGCGACCCTTCCGAAGGGCCTTGTTGAGCTGCGCCTCCCGCTCCACGTCAGCGCGCGCGACGTCGAGCAGCTCGGGGCAAATCATGAGGGGGCCCGAGCCCCGACTGAGACCCGCGAAGGCCTGCTGCTCCTCTAGGCTGAGACGTCCGCTGTAGCCCTTGGACTCCGCCCCCCGCTCGAGGTGGGCGAACTCGATCGTCTGCATGCGCCGCAGCAGCGACTCGATCGCCACCAGGTTGGCCCCGTCCAGCTGGTCGGCCAGGAGCGCCGCCTTGACCGCCCCCGCGAAGTGAAGGTGTTCGGCCACGCCCCAGGCATTCGGCTCATGGTGGCACGCAGACCTGAACCGATCGTGATGAGCGTCGAGGCTGCCCCCTTCGGTGTTGATGTGCTCCAGGCACCACGCCGCCGTGCGGACACCAGGGGGGGTCCAGTCCGTGCCGAAATCCTCCCGCGTGACCGCCGCGCACATATCCGCCCAGGTCCGCTCGCGGCGGCCGAGCCTTTTCCAATGCACGGGGAGAATCCGCGCGTCGGCCGCCACGATCCCGTCGAAGAAGCACTCCTCATCGTCGGGCCTGAGATGGTAGATCACAAAACAGCCCCGTGCCGTCGGCGAGCCGGTGGATGTCCTTGGGCCCGACCGCCGCCGGCCCTGCTACATGCTGCGCCTCGTCGCCCAGCCTGTAGCCGCCGTAGCTCTCCGCGGCCACCCAGCGGGCGACGCGCCCGTTGACCCCCGCCGCGCCTCCGACGCCCTGGAGCGGTCCCACGGGCGGAGGCACCCGCGCGGGAGGAGCGGCAGCCGGAGGAGCGCCCGCCGCCGCGGGCACGATGGCCGCCGCCGCACTAGGCACCGCCTCTCCAGCTGCTCCGGCAAGCAGCGCGGGAGCGCCACCGGCACCAGGCACTGCGCGGCGTCCGCTGGGACAGCAACCCCCTGTGCCGCGGCCAGGGACGCCGCCTCCGCCGCTGCCTCGGCCACCGCGGCCGCCGTGATTGCGGCCACCTCCGCCGCCGTCGGCTCCGCCCTGCACCCGTAGACGCCGTTCGGCGGGATGCCGTCGGGCAGCACGTGGAAGCCAGCTGCCAAGCGTACCGCCGCCACATCGGGGGAGCCCGTGCTGTAGTGCTCGGCATAGACGTGGCGATCGGGGGTGGCGATGACATGGAGCCTACCATCCGACAACTCCACCACGCCCAGCACCAGCCTCTGATGCCATACCTGTCGGGGGCCGGCCCCGATGTACAGCACAAACGCCCACGTCGCATTGGTTCACCTTGAGCGCCGCCTGGGTCCGATGGCCGAGCGCGGGCCGCGAACGCCGTGCACACCGCAGCGCCGCCTGGAGCCCTCCGAGCACCAGCGCCGCGCCCGATGCCCCCACGGCCGCCCCGAGGACGAACCACGCGAAGCCCCAGCCGCTGCCGCCGCAGGGAGCCGCCTCGGGCGCGGCTGGGCACGCTGGGCAGGCCGATGCCTCCACGGCCCCCCCCACGGCCGGGCAGACCAGCGCGGGGCACGCCGGGCAGGCCGGGCAGGTCGTGCCCGGGCAAGCGGGGACCTGGCACGCCCCGCACGCCTGGCAGGTCAGCCCCGGGCAGGGCGGACAGTCAGGCGCGGCCGGGCACCGCGCAGGGTAGTTGATCACCCTCTGCGCCGCGTACTCGCCTCCCCGCTGCAGAGCCCACTCGAGCATCGGGAGCCCCCGCGGGGACGCGCGCCTTGAAGCTAGAGCCGAGACAGGACGGACAGCATATGTGAGAACCCCTTCGGTGCGACTCGTATCCGTGCGGCAGGCCCAATACGCTCTCAAGGATTATCGTACAAGTACATAGCATCATCATCATCATCATCATCATCACCATCATCATCATCATCATCATCATCATCATCATCATCATCATCATCATTCTCATCACTAACGTCATCACCACCAACTTCATCAACCATCGTTATCATCACTATCATCAGCGCCACCAACTTCATCAACATCATCATCACTATCATCATCTTCTTCGTCGTCGCCGTCGTTTCCGTATTCGTCATCGCCACCGCCACCGTCATCATAACCACGATCACCATCACCATCACATTCGTCATCATCACCACCATCATCAGCATCAGCATCAACATCAGCGTCGGCATCAACAACACCATCATCATCCCCATTACAATACTATGCGCTACCGTGCCTTATGCACGCTGGGGCGTGTCAGAATGCTCCTGTGCTGCCTGTCAACATTTATTTAGTGCTTTCCCGGGCCGACCCCGTCCTTTGGCCGCACGCACACATGAAAAACGGCATTCCCTCTCCGGAGCTGGTTTCGGCCCAATTTCCACCAACAACTACTGTTGAGAGACGCCTTTTTCCCAGAGATGCCCTCCCCTAGAGGGAAAAACCGGCCAAAGCATCATACACTACAACAGCTGCCCGAACAGCTGACACAACAGCCCAAAACAGCAGAAACAAGACCGCCCCAAGACAACCAAACTCGCCCCAGGACGGCTAAAAGGCTTCCAAGGCGGTTCCAAGACTGCCCAAGAAGGGCTCCAGAAGGCCCAAGAAGTTTTTAAGAGGGCCTAAGGGGGCCCCCGAATGGCCCAATGAGAACAACACGCTCAATGAAGGATGTCGCCACCGCCTACGCGACAACGACGTTTTTAATCAGAGATGTGGCCCGCGCACAAGCCGGAGCATCATTCCGAGACAAGCGTGTCGCCAGACTGCTAGTGTCACGCTCATTCCGCGCGGGCCTGGCTCGGTGTCACCGAGGTCCGGGTTACGTTAGGTGGGTGGTCCACGTTAAGGGGGGTGGGGGGGGCTTGTAGGCCCCAAGAAGGCGCCAAGAGGGGGAAATCGAGCTGGCCTGGACAGCCTCTCCCGACAGAGCTGCCTCCAAGACCCCCAGCATGCCTCCAAGAGGCCTCCGAGAGCCCCCAGGGCGCCCCCGAGAGGCCCACGAGACCCCCAAGTGCCCTCTCAGCATACAGACGGCCAGGGGCCAAAGGGACCTGAGATGCTCCCGGAAGGCCCTGAAGAGGCTGCCGAGAAGCTCCAACGTGCGTCTTTTTCGACGCAACCTCCTTCACGCCGCGCTGCCGCGCTGGCGCGGTGGCGGGGTTTGCCGCAGGTAGCTGGATAACCATCGCCACCACGACCACGACCACGACCACGACCACGACCACGACCAGCACCACCCTCATCACCACCATCACTATCATCACCACCATCGGCATTATCGCCATAACCATCACCACGATTGTGACCATGATCACCACCACCCCCATCATCCCTCGTTGGCCGCTGCGCGGCCATATTGTGGCTCTCTCGGGGCCCTGTGGGCCTGAATTTGAGGTTCTCTTTGTGCCCTCTTGTGGCCGTCTTGGGGCCCTCGTGAGCTCTCGTGGGGCCCTCCTGGAGCATTCTTGGGGTATTTCGGGGAGCTGGCGTTGCTTGGGGCACTGTTGGGGTATCATTGGCTCCTCCAGAGGTCGTCTTGGGTCCTTTTGGGTCGTCTTGGGTCTGTGGCACTACTTGGTGGGTGACGCTTCGCTCCATTTGCCCGTCCAAGTGGCCTTCGGCCCATCCTGTCACCGTGGCTGGGCTGTGGATCGGAGGCCTCTTGGATGCCGCTGGGGTCTCTTGGGGAGCCTCTGGGGAGCCTCTTGGAAGCAATTTTGACGCTTCTTTGGGCCTCGAAGGGGCCGCTTGGGGATTTCTTGTGGGTCTCTTGGGTGCCTCTTGGGTCCTCTTGGGGGGGGCCTACTGGCGGTCTGGTGGGCCTTCTTGCGGGGGCTCGAACTGTGAGATTGAGTTCCTCCTCTTGGGCCCCACTTAGGGCTCTCTTGGGCCGCCTTGGGGCCCTCTTGTGCTTCTCAAGGCCCTCTTGCGGGCCACTTAGGCTGTCTTGGGGCCCTTTTGGGGATCTCTTGGGCCATCCCGGACGCGGCTAGAACCAAAAAAACGAATCTGCTACAACTTTCTAATTTTTCCGCGCGTTGGGCTGATTTCTGCCTCTTCAGACCCTCTTGGGGGTCCTCTTGGAACCGTCTTGGGACAACCTGAGGGCCTCTGGGGCCGTCTTGAGGCCATCTTGGGTCAGTCCTGGAGGCTCCAAGGGGGAAGGCTCCGGGGAAGCTGTGGGGAGGCGCCAGGGACGCCCCAGGGGGGAAGGGGGGACTTCGTGCGGTCGCCGCTGATGTGCCGCGTGCCCGGGGCCCTCGGGACTGGGTTTTCCAGTAAATGAGAAATGCCGCAGGGGGTGTGAGGATGGGCAAGCAATAGCGACTCGAGGAGACACGACTTCACCACTTGGTCAGGGTCTGGCACCAGCAGCGGAAGAAGGGGGCCGCAAGTATGAAACTTGTTTGTGCATTGTGTAGGTTGCCCGCGGTCAGGGGGGGAGAGGAGGCGTCTGGACCTTGAAAAAAACAGCCAAAGTTTGAATTGTAACGAATACCTCTCAATTCCTTCCTATTCCCATCTTTTGTGCGCGTACCTACACGTATGGACGTGCACACATATGCAGCGTTATGATCACATGCTTGTTTCGGCATACTGGAAGGCCCAACCACTGTGAACTTCCAAATGAACATCGCTCTCGCCCAAACTCGACCCAAACAGAGACGTCGGGAGGACAGATGTCTCCGTCCACGGTCGCCCCACAAACACATCTGACCTATGGCACTCTGAGCTGTCCTTATGTTGACGCCAGATGCTGTGAGGTCACACGCTAGCAGTGGCTGCGGGGTGGCCGCGCATCCTCATGGCGCTGGCAGCCGCGGATCAGACATCCATGGCATGCCGCTCGACTCGCGCTGCGCCAAACATCGCGGCAACGCTCGAACCGGCTCCAATACAATGAGCCGCGTAAGCAACGGCCGATGCTTCGACAAAACGTTCCATGTGACGACCGAAGCAGCGACTGGTGCCATTCTAAACTGGCCAACGATCTCCTTTTCATTCCCTTCTCCACCAACATCCTCCAATATCCGCCACCGTGCCGCCAGGCACGAAGTGGAGTGTCCTCCCATGCCTTCGAATTCTCGGTGCCACACTTACACATGTAGTGTAACTAAGCTACACAAGGCCCAGACGTCCGGAATTCCGAGGCGCTCCTGGGCACCTCCGCGGATCCCCGCGTGGCTTTTTCCAGAGGCCTCGGGACCGCGGCTGGGACCCCGCACCGCCTCGGGACCATGGCCGGGACCCCGCACTCCCAGCACTCTTTTGGGATCCGCGGCGAGCTGTGTCCAGCAGGCGGTGTCGAGCTGGCGGCGAGGCGCGCCCGAAGCGAGGCGGGCACCCACGCAGGAGAGGGCAGGAAGAGGAGGTGGGGAGGGCCGCGAGACCGCCAGAGCAGCCTCAGAACGTGAAGAACTTCGGGATTTGCGGTGGGCAAGCTCACGCAGATGATGCTGTCCACACTTCCAGCACGGTGCGGTACATGGCCAGCGTGTTCTTAGTCGGCGCTCCGACGTTGGGCGGAGGGGGGAGAAGAGGGGGGGGTCTGGCTCCGGACCTCTGCTTAGTGCGACTGTTTGCAGCGGTGCGTCCTGTGTGGGAGACCCCACCTGCTCGAAACCGGCGCCGGGGGGAGGGGGGAGGGCGAGGGCCCGTGCCGATCGGAAAAACAGTGAAAAAGAAAACGATCACATTGCTCAACAACATTGCCTCAAGACCCGTCCTGGAGCCCTCTTCAGCGCCTTCCAGGTCGTCTGGCAGCCCCTCGGGGCTGGCCCGAAAAGCCAAAAGCATAGGACAACCTTGCGCTCTTATGTGCCTTCGGGGTTCCCAGCTTTTCGATATCAAGGGCGTCCAAGACGGCCTAGAAAATTCCCCAGACATCGCCCTAGGATGGCCCCCGCGGTCTCCAAGAGGGCCTCATTTGCCCCCAAGACGGCCCCAAGAGGGGGAACCCAAAATACATGTCGAGACCTTCCCTCAAGTATGGCACTCGAGACCGCCAGCAGGACCTCAAGAAATACTCAAGAGGCCCCCCCAAACCCCCAGGAGACCTTCGCGAGGTCTCCTAAAACACCCCCAGAGGGTTCCAAGAGGCATTCTCTGCACGATCCAAACACGGTGGCGGGATGAAACGAAGGCTGCTAGACCTACGTGGCACGGGACGGAAAGCGCAACTTACTTTATGATGGCGCGAGATCGCTGGCTTGTCTGTTCTTCCTCCTCTGATGTCCTCTTCCCCTCGCCCTTGTCGCATCCTTGGGGGACCTTGAGGTTTCCTCTGGGGCCGTCTTGGGAGACTCTTGGGCTGTCGTCGGGCCCTCTTCAGCCCCTTTGAGGCCCGTCAAGCGAGATTTCAAGACGATGTCCGAGACATCCGTTCAAACATATGATGCTGAATACTGATCATCTGTGTAGGAATGACCCAGGCCGAATCGCCATTCGGCAGTCTCGAGGGCGCTATTGGACTGTTTGGACCGTCTGCTGTCCGAATGTCGTGTTCTCCGCGTTTGGACCACCCACTCTCCAGACTCATGCGTTTTCCCCGCTTGGACCGCCCACTGTCCGAGACACATTCGTTTTCCCAATTCGGACCGCCTGCTGTCCGAATGCCATGTTTTCCTTTCTTTTGGACCGTCCGTGAGCCGTCTTGAAAATCGCTGTCTTTGGCTTCAGCGGAGAGGGCGCGAAGGGGAGAGTTGAGATGTCATGTTGGGGTGTGCAGAACCAATGTCTCCCCCGTTCGGACCACCCAATATCGAGAACCATGCATTTTTCCCGCTTGAGCCGTCCGATGTGCGAGCTTTGTGATTTCCCCAATAAGACCGCCGGCTTTCCAGAAGCCATTCGTGTTTCCCGTCTTGACCACCCGCTGTCAAAATGCCGCGCTTCCACGTTTGGATTGCCTGCTTTCCAGAACCTTGTGTTTTCCCTGTTTGGGCCGCCCACTGTCCGAACGTATGGCAATCCCCGTTTGAACCGCCCAGCAGCCGTCTTGAAACATTATTTTGTTTGGCTCCAGCAGGGGGAGAGCGTGAGGGAGGGAGTTCAGATATCGTGGGGAGAATGCGCAGAAACAATGTGTGTGTGTGTGTGCGTTTCCCCGTTTGGACCCTCCCCTCTCCAGAACCTTGCGTTTCCCCGTTTGGACCGTCCGCTTTCCGAGTGTCGTGTTTCCCCCGTTTGGGCCGCCCGCTTTCCAGAACCATGTTTTCCCCGTTTGGACCGCCCGCTGTCCGAATGGAGCGTTTTCCCCGTTTGGACGGTCCAGCTGCGTTCGGAACCAGCGGCAACGGCCAGGTGGTGCAGAGCGAACTGGGTCTAGCCTGGCTCATTATGACTGGGCCGTCCTCGGGTCCTTCCGGGCCATCTGATAACGAGGACGACGACGATGATGAAAACGACGATTGGTGATGATGACGTTGCTTGTAATAACGGTGGTAACGGCTTGTCCTGCGACCCTGCGCGCGAACATACCCTCCCGAGGCGGTGGAGTGCGTACAGTGTTCTGCCACTCTGATGTCTGGTCTTGCGGTAGGGGGAAACAATGAGTGGACTCTCCCCCGCTCCCCCAAACTCAAAGTTGACACGCGCGGGGGGGGACTGCGGTCGAAGTGCAACTCGTCAGACTCACCGCCAAGTTTCAACATTGGGGCGAGGGGGAGGCGTGGACCGATGAATGTGGCATGAGTGTTCGCTACTCTTTGCGAGGCCTGTACTTCAGTAAGCCCAGCAGCAGCGAGAGACGAGCCGCTGCGACGGCACACGGCGCGCCGCTCCGATCACGTGCTGACTGCTGCCGTTCGGGGCGCTCAGAGAGCGCCAAGCAGAGTCGGAAAGTGTGGGCTGCTGGCGTTGCACGGGCAATAACATCATCGGTTGATCGTGGAGACAATATTGTTGGGCTTCGTTGGGCCGTCTCCAGGCCTTCCCCAATGCGATGCCAAGGCGAGGTTGATAGCATCTTAACTTTCTGGGATGTCCCTAGCGACATCGGCATTCTGGAAGCCATCTTGGACCGCCTTGGGCCCACTTGGAGACCAACTTGGGGCCATCTGGGACCACATTGGGGCCCACTTGTTCCGTCTTACCGGCCTTTTTTGGACACTCTTGGAGCCTTCCAAGAGCGATGCCAAGACGATGTTGTCAACATGTTTCGCGTTGACGGCGTCCTTTGCGAATTCGCCATTTTGGGCAAGACCGAGGCCAAGGTGACGTCGACAACATTTCATTTGTGTGATGATGTCCCGAGCGAGCTCGCAAATCTGGGGGATGGGCTATGTTGGGCCGTCTTGAGGCCTGCCACGAGCGATCCCAAGACGTTTCTTTTTTTGAAGATGTCCCCCGCGAAGTCGCCATTTCGGCTACCACATCGGCGCTCCGAAAGTTTATTCCGATTTGAGAAAAACCGCGCCGCGCGAATGCACAGCAAACGCGATGCTGGAAGGGCGCGGGAACGCGCGCGCCTCCTGGACAGGCGCGAGCAACCGCGCCCCCGCCCCGATCCCGCGAGCGGCGCGTTCCCGTTTGACAGTGGCTCACCCGGGAAACCGTTTCTTGTGCAGGAAGTCCTGCACGGTCGGCCCATCGGCGGCTCCTTCGGACGAGATCCGGAACCACCGAGAAACCGTTTGCCATCGGATGTTCTAGGCAGTTTGCCCATGTTCGGTTTCTTCGGAGTGGACCCGAAAACGTCGAGATCGATATTTTTTTGCAGAAAATTCCTAGGCGGTTCACACATTTTCGGGTCGTTCGAACTGGACCCGAAATTTTGTTTTGCACAACTCCCATTGATTTGGCCACTTTCAGATAGGTCGATAAAATTTTCGGGTCGTCGCATGACCGAACCCGAAAGTTTTTTTCGAGGAAGTCCTATGCCGTTTGCTCATTTTCGGGTCCGTGCACCGTTTGGGATTTGAAATTTTAAATTCCGAAGGGGGACCCGATCCCGTGACCCCGGGCAGGGGTTGCGCTCTGCCCTTGCATTGTGCTGGGCCCCTCCGGCCAAACGGGGTGCCGGCCTGCCCATCCGCGCGCCGACTCTGCCCTCGCGACATCGCCCCCATCCGCCCTCGGACCCCGCGAATCTCATCCTGCGCGCGCAATCCCAGATGGCCCCGGCGAGAACGGTGGCGAAATTGGGGAAACTTTCGGAGCGGCGCAGTAGACCTGCTCGGCACGGGGACGGACACCGCAACCTACTTGTTGCGATGGCGCGAGCTCGCTGGCTTGCCCGTTCTTCCTCTTACGCTCTCTCTTTCGCCCTTGCCGCATCCATGGGGAATATTGGGGCCCTCTTGGGCCATCTTGCGATTCGCGGGCACGGCCTGCCGACCCTTTCAAACTCCCTCCAACTCGACTTCTCCTGGCAAATGGTTCGCACACTACAGTGGAGGCCCGTCCACAAGAAACCTTGCACAAGAAACCCAACCCTGAGACCCCAGGTGGTCCACTGATTTTTGGTGTGGGAGCGTCGCGCTTTCCATAGCAAAACCATGGAAACCCAAGAAATCCAGGGCAACCTGGAGGCAAGCAAAGTGTTTCTTCGCATGGGTCTCCACTGTATGCGCGCTTTCCGTCATCCTTGGGTCGAGGCCTGCAAACGCTCTTAACTACCCTTGGTTTCATTTCTCCCGGATAACGTATCGCACAGTATGCGCGCTTTCCGTCATCCGCCTCCTCATCCTGCTTGCAGAGGGGCGCACGGTGTGTCAAATGTTCGAGTCATCTGTTCGGTCCTTCCAACGGTCCCCAGTGGGGCCTTGGCTCACCTGGCCAGCCCACCAGAAACCACTGCAAAACCGCAACGCCAAGAAACGTAGTCTCCAAGACGGATAGCCTCCAAGATGGTCCTAAGATGCCTCGGCCAAGATGCCCAAAAGAGAGCCTAACATGGCCCCAAGATGCCTACAAGACGGCCCAAAGTGAACCCAAGACGGCCCAAGACGGTCCAAGACGGCTCAAAAGGCTCCCAACACGGCCCCAAGATCCATCTAAGATGCCATTCAGGCGGTTCCCAAGATGACCAAATCATTGATTTCTTAAGCTGCTCGAATGGCTTTCGTGTTCTCGCCTTTTCGGGCTTCCGACAGCCGAAGACGGCCACACAGGACTCCAGTCTGAGTCCCAGACGGCCCCAACGCCACCAAGACTGTCCAAGAGGGCCCCAGCACGGCCCGAGAGGCCCCTAAGACAGATCCAATAGGGCCCGAAGACGGCCGCAGAGGCCTCCCAGACGGCCCCAAGCGTCAACAGAGGGCCCCAAGACCGCCCAGTGACACCCCCAAGACGGCCTCCGAAGGCCAAGAGGTCCCTTAGGGGCCCATAGAAGCCCCAGGAGGTCCCCAAGAGGCCCCAGGAGGCCCCCAAGAGGCCCTCGGAGGCCCCAAGAGCTCCAGTAGGAAGCCCCAGGATGCCCCCAAGGAGCCTCCTCTTCTCTCTCCTCCTCCTCCTCCTTCTCCTCCGTTTCCTCCTGCTCCTCCGCGTCTCTCTCTCTCTCTCATTCTCTCTTCCTCCACGAAGTGTTCCCCAAACGGCTTCCAAAACGGCTGGGGGACACAGTCCAGTAGCTCGGCAAGACTTGGGCTCAGCGGTTGGGCAGGGGATGGTGGCGGTTCGCCGTAGGCGTCTTCGATGCTGTTGTATGCGCCCTCTAATGACGGCAGGCAACCTGTACACAAGAACGCTCCGGCAACACTTGTGCAAACGTTCTGGCGCATCTCTGCACTACCGGGAAGCTCTAAGCTCAACGAGGCCTCTCATGATCTTGAGCGCGTCACCTGTAGCGCCCTCAGGCGCGACTCCGAATACGTTCATCACTGCATTGAACGAAGACGGGGACTCGTCGATAATACGCAACAGGGATGCGATCGCCTTCCCGTCCAGCTTCTTGGCCGCAGCCACGTCGTTGTACCACTGTTGCTTCTGGTACACGTTGGGATCACCATCGTTGTAGGTGTGTTGGGTATTGCAAGTGCCGAATGTGGCGCACCTGTAGGAGCCACTCGACACGCCCCACAGGAAGAACTGACAGGCGTCATTCTCGGTGCACTTCTCTGAACAACTCTGTGCAGTCGTGTGCACGTGCCAGGCGTCGTAAAGCGTCCCGTCCGCACACCACGTGTCTGGGTATGCGATGGTATACTCCGACGAGAGGCCGAGGGTGCCCAACCACTCGACGACCTCCTGCTGGGACCACTCCTCGGCCCCATGCACTCCGGGCGGGCCGACCCCACAGTGGGCGGCGTGCTCGGCACCAGGCAGCAGGCCCGCCGACGTCCTGCAGTTGAACGGGTACCAGAGGATGCCGTACTCCTGTCCGGGGTAGCAGCAGGGCCGCCGCTCTGAGGTGCCCGCTGGCACTGGGGCGAAGAGGAATCGGCTTTGGGCCTTCGCTTCGAACGCTTTCTCCCCGACGCCCTCGTGCGCAGCTTCGATGATGTTCCACTGCCACTGCCAAACGTCAACTCCCCGCGTCGAGATTGCTTCAGCCTCAGGCACCCCCGCGGGGAGCTGGCTCGGGATCGATAGCGAGAACGACCGAGTCTCGGTGACGGACTGGTCCCACGATGTCCCTTGGGTCGTAGCCCGTGCGACGCTCGAGGACTCCGCATCTGTCTCGCTGCTGCATGCACTGCTCCCCCAAGATGATGCGAACTTATACCCAACTGAAGCTGCCGGTGTCTTAACCTTGATACTCGCGGAAACCTCGAACGAGGCCGAAGTGCACATTGACGCGTCAACGGCCCTCGACTGCGCGGACGACTGCGTCTCTGCCTCGGAACTCGAAGTGCCCGAAGAACTTGTGTACCCGTAGCTGACCGTCACGTCCTGGCCAATGTTCATCGAAGCGATCTTCACCCATTCGCCGTGGATGGCATTGCGGTAGTAGGTCTCTCCATCCGATCCGATGTAAGTCTGCCTCACGAAAGGCACCTCCTGCGATTGAGCCTGCGCCACGCACACGGAGCAACCAACCTCAACGTTGTGGGGGTACTTCTCCTCGTCCGAGGCACCCTGCTCCATCTCAGTGGTGTAGAGGAGACCTCCATTATGGTTGCCACCATTTGAGTTCGGTGTTACCTTCCTCTCGGAATCGACACATATGAACTCTCCTTTGTGATGGGTATATCTCTCAGCCATGATGAAGCCGGTATACAATGTGATGTGGTTGTTCGTGCATGTCGTGCTCCGCCCCCACTGCGTGTAAACTGACTCCCAATGGTCCAGTTCGCAGACAACACATGCAGCCTCGTGGTCATGGTTGGCGTCAATTGCTCCAGTGTTCTCGTACTCCATGTTGTACAACAGAGCGCCATTCTGGTTGCCCGATGAAGAGCCACTTGGGATCTGAACTTGTGGGTGCATGCAAATGGTGTTCGCCCCTCCACCCCGGTGGCTGTAGTGCTCAGACATCATGGTCCCCTCATACAGCTTCGCGCTGCCAGTGGGGCACCCGCGAGAGCCCCACCTGGTGAACACCGACTTGCCAACATTTCCAGCGCACGCCGAGCAACCCACCTCGTGGTTCGCGGACACCCCCGAGACGGGCACCTCAAACTCGGTAGTGTACAGGAGGGCCCCGTTGTTGTCGTGCCAGCTGGACTGCGCGTGCGTCTCACGGGCGGTGTCCACGCACACGCGAGTGCTCCTGTGCTGAGTGTAATGATTGGCCATGATATAGCCCTTGCCGACCAGCCATACATGGGGGAGCTGTGGTCCTTCCCCCCCCTGTGGGAACCCATCGCATCGACGATCTCTCGAGAGGGATGCCGAAATCGATGGGTCCCCCCGGGGGGGTAAGGACCACAGCCTCCCCGGCTGTGGCTGGCCTGCCTTGTAGACCGTGGGGAGGCTGTTGCTGCACGAGGTGCTGCGCCCCCACTGCACGAAGACGTCCCGGTGCTTCGAGCGCTTGCGGCACACCGCGCACGCCGCGTCCCCGTCGTGGTTGGCGTCGAGCGCCCCCGTGTTCTGGTACTCCGTCCCGTACAGCAGGCTCCCGTCCTGGTTCCCGTCGCTGTACCCGCTCGGGGGGTTCGGGTTGCTCGTGGTCATGCAGATGAAGTTTGCGCCGGAGCCGCCATGGTTGTGGTGGGCCCCTGCCATGAAGCCCTCGTACACGAGCTCCGCCGTGAATGGGCACTGCCTCTTACCCCACACAGTGAATACAGTGGTCTCCGACTCCGGCGTGATAGTCACCACTCCATCGGGGTCCACGTTTTTGGCTGGAATGCCACATACTGTGCAGCCCAACTCGCGATTATGAGGATAAGCATATTCGTCTGCTGAGCCCAGCTCCATTTCCGTCGTGTACAGAAGACCTCCGTTGTGGTTATCATCCGAGACACTTGATTCGCCATGGTAGGCACGCTCGAGATCCACGCAAATACTCTCACCTTTCCAATGGGTGTATCTTTCGCTCATGATGAGACCAGTATAAATCATCTCGTGCGCTGGGTTCCCACACGTCTTGGGCGTCGACGGGTTGTGGCGCGATTCGCCGTTCCCCCACTCGACGTAAATCGATCCGCCTCTCTGCCACTGGCAGACGGCGCAGGCAGCGTCGTGGTCGTGGTTCAGGTCGATGGCGCCGGTGTTCTCGTACTCCACGCCGTACAGGAGGGCGCCATCGTTGTTGGCAGCGTCCCAGCCGAAAGGCAGCTGGGGGCTGGGGTGCATGCACAAGGTGTTGTACCCGCTGCCCGAATGCGAGTAGTGGGATGTGGCGATGAAGCCGGAATACACCAGCATGGATCGAAGAAGAAAAAACGACATACAGTCGGGGCGTTGACCTAAGGAACCCTAAATAAGGAACGAGGCCCATTTCTTCCATAAATTAAACTTCGATCTCCTATCGAAAACATAAGGAAAACCTGAGGCAAGCTGTGAAACACTTAAGGAACGCGGAGCCCCTCCGCAACGAAAAGGGTTCCTTCTTCAAGACCCCTACTATAAACACAAACTCTTGGCGCTCCGCACGGATTTCCTGGATCTGCGCCGGACCCCCCTCCCCGGCGCGCGGAGCGCGCCAGGGGCGGGGCTGCGCCGGGGGGGAGGGGGGCAGCGCGGAGCCGAGGAACTCGCGCGGAGCGCCAAAAGCTCATGCCTGCCTCCTCCTCCTCCTCCTCCTCCTCCTCCTCCTCCTCCCTGCACTTCCTCTCCTCCTCCTCCTCCTCCGGAGTGGTCTCTTCTTCGCACTGGACCCCAGGGGGCACGTCTTCGAGCCCCACCGCGTGAACACCGCCCTGCGCTGCAGGGTCGGCGCGCTGCTGCTCAGGCCGCGCGGCGGGGCGTCCCCGGCGCCCGGGCCGCCGGCGCGCGGCTGCTCCGGCGGCTCCGCGGGCGGGGCCCGTCGCGGCTCGTGGGCGCCGGCGTCGAGGGCGAGCCTGCGGCTCTGGCCGCTGCTCGCGCTCGCCGCGGTGAGGTGGGACATCCTCTGGCGCAGCGCGTGCAGCTCCTGAGGGCGGCGAGCGGGGGGGGGGGGCAGGTGATCTTGACATGACCCCGCGGATGATGAATCAACGAAGCGACCATGGCCCCACCTCGCTCTTGGGGTCTGCCCGCTTCGGGTGGCGGCCACGACAAGTGAAGAAGCCAGAATCCTGATTCCTGGTTGGCTCCTTGCACAGCGCGGCCAATCCACGTCCTTGGCCAAGGTGTGCGTACGCGTGGCACTTCAAACAAACAGTGAACGAAATACCATCAGAAACGTTAGTAGAACGAGCCCTCGCGCACTCTGAGCAGTTTTTGTTTGTCTTCGGGGAAGGCTTAGAAAGCTTCTCATAATGCCTGGGGACTTCCGAGTCTTCAGAGAAGGCCCGCCCCTTCTTACTTCCCCCCGGGGGTTCGCCGCCGATCCTTGGCCATCTTGTCCGCCTCCTGGCTCGGGAACGTCTCTGGCTCGCTGGTGATCGTATTCATGAACTTCCCGTGCAACAGAAAGACGGGCACCGAAGCCACGACGAAGGCGACAGCGACCATGCGTTTGATGCGTTCGGTCATGGTTCTTATATCTTGCCTCTAGGAAGAAGCACCCGCAACACGTCACGATCCCGAGAACGCTCAGCGCACAAGCCTGGCAGGCTTGGCATACGTCGCTTGAACCAACATCGCCAGGGAAGCTGCTGCTGAGGATGAGCGCGCGAAAATGGCATTACTTCAGCGTGCGCCGATGATATGATGACGGCGGCACTGCCTCTTCTTCTTCTGCTTCTTCTTATGATGGTGATGATGATGCTGAGGATTATGATGCTGCTGATGCTGCTGTTGATGTTGATGTTGATGTTGATGGTGATGAGGATGATGATGCTGATGCTGATGCTGCTGCTGCAGATGATGATGCTGCTGCTGATGCTGATGTATTAACGCCGCGCTCTCAGCGAAAACGTGCGCGATGACAACTGTTGTCGTGGCGTTGCGTGGTCTCATCGGACTTCATGTCTTGCTCAAGTCGCTGCCACATTCCCGCAAATGCCCAACGCCATGCAACAATTGACGTCGTCGGGCACGACGCGCTGACGTCTCACATCATCGAAAACGCTGCAGGACACGGACTGCTGCCGGCCTCTTACTCAGGCTCTGTTCGGCCTGGTCAGCTTAACTCCCAGCAGCCCTCTGGGCGGCTGGTTGCCCACGGATCACCTTCCCAGGTGGTGGAGGAGGAGGAAAAGGAGGAGGAGGAGGAGGAGGAGGAAGAGGCGGGGGAGAAGGAGGTGGAGGAGGATGAGGAAAAGGAGGAGGAGGAGGAGGAGGAGGAGGAGGAGGAGGAGGGCCCTCCTCGTTCTCCTGTGGTCCCCCCCCGCTCGGAGGGGTAGCAACGGGGGGCGCAGCACTGGCTGCCGGGTGGGGTGCCAGGGGCGCTGTGCGCGCAGCTGCTGATTATGCTGGTCTCTGCGGAGCTTTTTCCGCCAGTGTCCGCCGGCGAGCTTGCTCACGCTCTGCTCTGCACAATTTCCCGCGGATCGCTTGTCAGCTGCCAGTGGTGGGACAGGGAACGATACCTTTTTCATGGAGCTGTGCGGACGCGAAGCAGCATCCAATATCAAGACTGCAACAACTGGAATGGTCGGCCAGCCTGCCGACACGAAAGCTCAGACATGCTCTAGTGGCGCTGGGCGTGGCAAAAAACAGACGCGTCGTTCGAAGAGAACGCTGGTCAATCTGGGGCGGGCGTGGCTCTGGCCGAGAAATTCAGAGACACGATGAGCCCGAAATCGATCACACATGCAGACGTTGGTGCTTGCGTCTTTCAGTTTTGGATGCGCCAGTGCTCACACGAGAAGGGCGGACAAAGAACTGTACAACATACACTTGTCCACCAAAGGGGACGCGTGTCCAGTGGCGATTGGGAAGTGAATGTTCCGACCGAACATCGTCGGGGTGTATAACTTCCAGCCGCCTTGGGACATGTGTCCCCGATGGCGGACAAACACATGTTCTGTTGTTTTCCATCCGCTCGAGTGTCTTTCGAAGTCTCAGAACGTGGAGGGAAGACAATAATTCGCACTGGAAGCGCGAAGAAGGGGGGCAGGGCGAGGGCAGCGGCATTCCGAGATGCCACGGGGGCTTCTCAGAAGGGGTCGGCCCTTTCTTCTTGCAGAAGCTCATCTCACCATCGCTCGGACGTGCAGTCCCCGTGAATGTTTCGATGTCGCGCGCGCATTTTTCGCAAGGGGATCCAGGATGCTCCTCGATAGTCCCCGCCGAGAAAAATATATGTGCACAAGTTCGGGCGGTGCAACGAGAAGACAGAAGTGTCTCCGAACAAACGCGGTGACTTCTAAGAAGGGCGGCCTCCATCGCCCCACCGTGTCTTGCGCTCCGCGAAGGGATGGTGACGGGGATGGGTGAGGTGGGGTGGGGGGGGGGAGGAGAGGGACGGGGGGGGGGAGGGGAGGGGGAGGGGGGAGGGGGAGGAGGAGAGGGAGGGGGAGGAGGAGGAGGAGGAGGAGGAGGAGGAGGGTATACTTGGAGCAGCGAAGGGAGGGTGTTGGCAGGATGGGCGGAGCGCCGCGTCCGCGGTCGCCCCGCAGACACGCCCGACCCGTCGCACCACAGTCTTTCACACCAGGGAACAGTCCGAATCCACGTATTCCCTGGGATGGTCCTGTGTCAGTCTTTTGTTTTCTTTGTTTGCTTTTTTTCCTCTCTCTATCTCTATGTATAATATATGCGCATACAAAGATCTCTCTCCTTTCTGTTTCTTCTCTCTCTCTCTTTCTTTCGAGTTCTTCATACACATTAAAAATCTATCTCTGTGTATGTGTATGCTGCCTATTTGATCTGCCCTCACACCTCTCTCTGCGCTCGATTGTCTCTTACGTGTTTTGTATCACGAGCGAGAATGTATGTATGTGCATCTGTTGATATATGTATATATATGTGTATTCTGTACATAGGTACTCATTGTAACCCCCTATCTCTATCTGTCTCTCTGTATATATGCACACGTACTCAAGTACGGCCTATGCTCTATAATCTGTTCTGCCTGTATTATACGAGGGCGCGCCGCTGGATGCCTGAAAGGGGCGGGGTCCAGGACACCTCCCTCATCTTCCCGTTTCCTTGGTCCGTCGTCGGCGAATACCCCCCCCCCATTCTTTTCCGATCCGTCGTCGGCGACCCCCCCTCCTTTCCCCCCTTTCCCAGTCCGTCGTCGACGAACCCCCCCCCACCCTTTCAAAAGGGGGGGAGTGGGGGTTCTGGACGCCCCCCCTCCCCCCCTCCTCGTTGGACTGGTCATTCGGCACGCCGCCCCCTGGCTCCGGCACCCCTAGTCCTAATTCTCACCCGTACCCTAGCCCCTGACCCTAGGCCTAACCCCTAACACTAACCCAACACTAAAACCTTAACCCCAACTCATGAGCCCGAACCCCTAATCCGAATCTGTACGCCCTGCCCCTGCTCACGCTACTCATTGTTCACTACTCATTGTTCACTACTCACTACTCACAGCTCGCTACTCACTACCCACTACTCACTACCCGCTACTTACTACTCACTATCCACCAAATCATTACTCACTACTCACTACTACCTACTCACTATTCAGTATTCATTACCCGCTACTCACTACCCACTACTCACTACTCCGTACTCCCTACTCAGTATTCACTACTCGCTATTCCCTACTCCCTGATCGCTACTCCGTACTCACTACCCACTGCTCACTACTCGATACTCACTACTCACATCTCCCTACTCACTACTCCCTTCTCCCGACCCCCTACTCCCTGCAACCTATTCACTACTCACTACTCACTTCTCGCTACTCACCACTCACTATTCACAACTCACTATTCACTACCCACTACTCACTACTCCCTTCCCGCTACCGACTAATCACTATTCACTACTCATATCTACTGCTCACAGAACACAAACTATCCACTACTTACTACCCCCCGCTTCCTACACACTACTCCCTACTCTAACGCACTACTCAGTGCTCAAGACTCAAAATTCGCTGCCCACTACTCACTGCTCATTACTCCATTTTCACTGCGCACTACTCACATTGCGCTGCTCGCTGCTCACTACTCACAACTCACTGCTCACTACTCACTACCCACTACGCGCTATCCACTACTCACTACTCACTACCCACTTCCCACTACCCAATTCTCACCACCCGCTCCTCCCTACTCAGTACTTACTGCACACTTCTCACTACTCCCTACTCGCTACTCCCTACTCACTACTTTCCACCTACTCACTACTCACTACCCCCTACTCCCGACTCCATGCTCCCTACAACCTACTCGCTACCCACGTGTCTCTTCTCACTACTCGCTACTCACTACCCACTACTCACTAATCTCTTTCTGCTACTGACTGCTCACTAGTCAAGACTCGCTACTCATTATCTACTACTCACTTAATTACTACTCACTACCCACTGCTCCCCACTACCTACACCCTACTCAAACGCACTACGCAGTAATCACGACTCCCAAATCACTGCTCACTAATCGCTACTCATTTCTCGCTACTCATAGCTCACAACTCACTACTCACTCAATCGCTACCCTCTACCCACTACTCTCTATCCACGACTCACCACTCACTACCCACTACTCACTACCCGGTACTCACAAATCATTACTCACTACTCACGACTCACACCTCGCTGCTCCTTACTCACTACTGACTGCTCACTAATAACTACCCACTACTCACCACTTTCTGCTCACTACTCACTACTCACTACTTACTACCCACGACTCCCTACTCAGTACGTGCTACTCACTTCTCACTACTCCCTACTCGGCACTCCCAACTCACTTCTTACTGCTCACTACCCACCTAGTCACCACTCACTACTCCCTACTCACTACCCACTACTCCCTACTCACTACACACTACTCACTACTCACCACTCACTACTCGCTACTCACTATGCACTATTCACTACTCCCTACAAAGACCTACTACGCACTACTCACAACTCGCTGCTCACCAAATGCTACCCACTACTCACTACCCACTACTCACTACGCCCTACTCCCTATTCTCCTACTCACTACCTCACTGCTTCCTACTCGATAAATCCCTACTCGCTACTCAATATTCATTACTCCATATTCACTATTCAATACTCCCTACTCACTACCCACCGTCTCCGGCGCAGAAGGGAGATGCGGGAGAGGCCCCCTTCCCGGTCCCCTGTCCGGCGTAATCGAAGGAGGGGGGGGGTCGAAATCGCCCCCCTTTTCCCCCTTCCAAAGCAAAAGGGGGGGGTGGGTCCGAAAATCTCTCCCCCTTTGAAGGAGGGGGGGTTCTGCGAGCACCTCCCCCATTTACAATTACTGGGGCACCCAATGGCGCGCTTTCGTATTGTACCCCCTCCTTTCCCCCCCCCGTCCAGCTCAAACGAGCGGGGGCGGGGTCCGAAATCCTCCCCCCCTTTTAGGGAGGGAGGGTCCGAAAATCTCCCCCCCCCTTTGAAGGGGGGGTGTTCTGCGAGACCCCCCCCACGTTTACAATTACCGGGGCAATCAGTGGCGCGCTTTCGTATTGTACCCCTTTCCATATGACTTCTCCACCTATCTCCCAACTGTAGATACGTAGAGGTCGCAAATGCACTCTCCCTTTATGCCTCTTTTTCT